CTGCTCCACCTCCCTGGATGTGCTGCTGGTGTAATGACGAGTCAGCGTCTTGGTCGGAAAACAAACATTTTGATGATGCTCATAAGAACGGAGGCCTCTCATCAGAACGCTAAACATCCAGTTTACAGTTCTGTAGCTGCTGCACACATACGGTCGTACTTGACTTCTACATGTGAGGTCTGGATCAGTATTCATCGGCTGCACACTTCTGCTAACGAGCCAGCGGCACTAATGAGGACCAACTCCACAGAACCACAGACGCACAACACAATGAAACTTTAATTCTAATGTCCTCGCACACGAACACACGCAGGATTCATTACGAACCGGAATAAATTACCATCACGCTCCGGCTGATACGATCACATTTACATTTCCAGAAATGCATTATTAATGCTCCTGCATGTCAGCATTAATATTAAAACTATATTAACGTCTGCTGTCTCTCCGTCTCTCCTTCATCCCACTCGCCTCCCCCTCCATGTCCTCCACCTCATCTGTTTTTTCTTCTTCTGTAGGACAGTAATGCTGGCTTTCCTCTCTCCTCCTCCTCCTCTTCCTCTTCCTCCTCCTCTTCCTCTTCTTCCTTCTCACCTGTTCACTCTGAGCGAGATGAAGCCCAGCCGCCAGCGACAACAGCCGTCCTCTGCTCTGGTTTAGGACTGTGGTGTTCCTCCTCTTACACCTTCTCCTCGTTAGACTAGCTCATTCCTGCCCTCCTACCCCCTCGCTCCCTCCTCCTCCCCCCTCCTCTAATCAACTAATTAACCCAGGGAGCGAGGCAGAGGCAGCTAGACGGGAGTTTTCTGTAGTTTTGCTAAATATAAAAAGGTTGGTTGTAAGGCGCACCATGTAAGACTGGAGTGGTTTAGTTTTCTAAATTGAGCCGATAGAGTATTTTAACAGGGTCACCCATTCTTGCACTAACAGCATCGCTACAACGGACCAACGTGGAGGCTCGCCGCCGCTTCGAATCACCTCGACCGCCGCTTTGCATCGCTTCAATTAACCGATTGTGATTTTTTTTTTTTTAAATTACTCGATTCTTATGCACATCTATGAATGCTTCCAAGTGTTTAGGACCATCCTGTGAAATCACCAGCAGAGAAACACAGAGTAGACTCGAACGACGACGCGACACGCCGCCGACGTTCACATCCGACTTCTGCCAAGATTGAACCTCAAAGACTTGAACGACCAGCTGAGTCTTCCACTGGGTCGGTCCGTCTCAAACCGTCGAACTCCTGCAGCGGTTTTCTGCTCGACCGTCTCCGGTTTGCCTTTTATAGCATAAAATATGGATTTATATATAAAGATGTCTGTGAAATTTTACCTTGATGTGTTACTTTTCTTAACAACTGCCTGTTAGCTTACGTTTAGCATGTTTAGTGTTGAAATTTGAGGCTCTTTGAACGACAACATCTCAGCAGCTATGAGGGATAAAAGCATGTTATTTCTCAACATGACATTAATTCAGTATCAGAACTTGTCACACCTTCCTTATCGCTTATTAGCAAAAATAGCATGGTGGTGGCAGCATCATGATGAAGCACGGTGGTGGCAGCATCATGATGAAGCACGGTGGTGGCAGCATCATGATGAAGCACGGTGGT